GGTTGACTCAAAACCTATGCTTACATAGGAAATAGCCCTCTTTTCCAAGGACCATAGCCAGAGCATAATAGCTCATCGTCATACTCACAGGGATTAGGGTAGGAATCTCAGAGGTTCCATTTGGTAGGATTCTTCTTCATTTTTTTTTTTTTCTGTTTTCAAAGTTACTAACCAAGCAATTCAATCTTTTATGGTAGAGGATGAATAAGAGTGTGGAAAGGGGCCCAGAGTTTTACACTAAATAATGTTGTTCTGAAAAAAAAAAACAACTCTGTCATTGCCTCTGACCAAGCCCACACCCCAATATACTGCAAGGCCTAAAACCCAAAGTATAGTTCAAGAGTGATTCAGAAGATGCAGAAGCCCCGGTGAAGCTTGTGGCTGGTCTCTGAGAGGGAGGCAGAGCTGAGAGCCCTGACATCCTCTTCCAGGACAAGGAGGGGAGGGGGCCTTCCCCCTGCAGGATGCTCTGAGCTGCACTGGATTTGGGTGGCAAGGCTGGCAGAGCTGGGGTGTGGCAGTCCCATATGAGATGAGTGGGAACCCTTTGAAAGAGATCTTCATCAGAAATCAGGCAAGAGGTCAGAAAATCAGAACCAAAATGATGGCAATAGGGGGACAAATTAATCAAGCAAAGAAAACTAGTTGGCAACAGATTGGATGAAGTCAAAGATAAATCCATGGATTCCAGTCTGGAAATGGGGTGAAGCTAGTGCAATGGGGGAACCACAGGAAGACCCGGTTGAGGTGGGGGCTGATGACCTTGCTCTTTGTTCAGTAAAACTCTCCCACCCGCACTGCACCGCTGATCCTGTTCTTTCCCGCCTTCTGCACTCAGCTGGGTTTCTTCTCTTCCACCAGCCCCTCCCCCCCTCCCTGCACCCCACTGGCTCTCCCCACGGCTGTCTCTGTGCTCCACAGTTGGCTGCTCTGCTCCTCTGCCTCTCTCTGGCCCAGCTGTGGTCACGCTGCCAACACACAGACCCAACAGGATCTTTTCAGTCCTCTTCTTCAGAACCTTTCTCTGGTCTTTGGGACATGGCTTTCCTCTGCAGACTCCCGTCTCTTTAGGTTCTAGGGCCCATTCTCTCCTCTTCCCTTCCCAGCTCAGTCTCCTTGGTCCATCCCTCTTCCTGTGCTCATCTTTGGAAGGACCCCAGAGCCCCTTTGCCGCAGTCTGGCTGGGCACAATCAGGAGCCACTTGTCAAAAGAAACTAACTTTATTTTTAGAACCACACACGCCAAACAAAACAGCCTCTCAGGAAAAACCCTCAGAGCCTCAACTGCCACCACCGGCTTTCCACAAGCCTCTCTCTCCCACACAAGCTTCTCTCCACCTCCCACAATCCTCCTGCTCTTGAGGCCTATTGGCTGGGTCACGTGGGCGGAGCCAAAAAAGTCCCCCAATGAGCAGCTCCGTGGTCTGAAAGGGCAGGGAAACAGCCCAATGAGCATCACCGCAGAGGAGCCAATCAGCTAGATGTTGCTGGGGCCGCTGTGAGCCAATCATCAGCCGGCAGCTGGAAGTTTGCTGGGGCCCCTTCGGCTGTGGCTCTCAACACCCCTTCATGCTCTCTTCTCCCTGGACATGTTCTTTGTGGAATATAAAGTTGTCCCAGAAATTCTGAGGATGATCCGCTCGATATTTCCACATGAGACCGCTCCATGGGTTTCTGACTGCTTTTGCCACCAGCAGCACCTCTAGTTCCGCTAAAGATGAATCCTGATGTTGACCTCCAAGCCCATCCTCATTTGTCCTTCTCTGCTGCGACTAGTGGCCAGGAAGTGGGTGAACTTTGCCTCTTTCACCTTCAGCCTTCCTGTCCCTCCTCTTGCTTCTGCCTTAACTCAGATCCTCAAGATCCCTTCACAGCTCCCTTGATTCTCATTTCTGCCTGCTCCAGTTCATGTAGCCACCTTTGACAGGCTTATTTTCTGAAAGGCGTACTCATTAATTTGCTGTGTGCATGGCATCTCTAGAATCATGGCCCTCATGCTGAAGTTCACATTTCCTCAGGCTGGGTAAGCTGCCCATTATCTATATGTTCAGATTCTCTGTGAGCCGCCACCCTCTGCCCTCCCTAGCCTGATCTCAAGCATTCGCTCCAACTGCACTGGAGCTGACGGGCTTAAGATGCTCCTTCTGCCCTGGAGAGCCTTCTTCCATCCTACCGTCCCCTCCCCAAACTCTTCCTCCATCCCTCTACACCACCTACAAATCTACCCAACCTGCAAAGGTCAAATCAGGCACCACCTCTACTAAAAAAAAAAAAAAGTCTCTGCTGAGCCTGTCAGGTGGTACTGGGCCCTCTTCTTCCTGTGTCTCTTCCCACCGGCTCCCTGTGCCCTGCACATGAGTCTGTTAGCAGCTATGACACCTCTTTGCTGCCATCTCTTTACACTTTGTCACCAGTGAGCCTAGCACCCTGCCTGGCACATAAGAACCACTGGAGAAATGCTCAAGGAGGAAAATCAAATGCTTCATATTCTGGAAAAGGCTCAAAGTTGCCTGCTGGGATGAATGGAGGTCAGAAAAGACTAGAAAGCCATTTTATATTTATTATGCATTTTAAATCATCTCAGTCAAATGACCCTTGACCTGCTCCCCAAGCCCTCTAGATGACCAGAAATTATGTCAGGATGTGACTCCTAAATATTTGATATTTGCATGGTAAAAATTTCAGAAATACTTTCTGTTAAAGACCATGCATAACACACCATAGGATAAAAATGAAAGATGAGATCAGAGTTAATTTTTCCCAACTCTGCAAGGGATACCCATAAAAATACACAGTTGTGGTCAAAAGAAACATAGCTCATCATTCATGCGAACCCATAAGTGCATGAGTGTGTGATGGGAGTGTGTGTGTGTGTGTGTGTGTGTGTGTGTAGAGGTCAAGAATGAAGTGACCTTGGGCAACTTTCCTGAATTCTCAAAGGGAGGTTCCTGATCTGTAAAATGAGAGGGAAATGGTTTTGCAGGGATTCAACTGGGCGAGGCATGTGATCACTTTCAGTGGTAATGGCAAGAGGATGAGCCTGCCAGATTCCACCTCCACTGTCACGGACCCACAAACCTCTCCTCTCCTGCAATTCAGGTTTAAGTTAGCGCTTTTCACATCTCTGTGGGCAAATCCTTTCAAATCCCCACATATTCTACCTCACCTGCACCCCTTGCCTGCTGAGTTCTCAAGGCGAAAAAGTGTTTAAGAGGTAACATGCATAACTTTCAAAAGCCTCTCGCTTTTGCCTTTAAGGTTAAAGAACAAAAATCTTGGCCTTTCTTTCCAAATAGCAGGTGTGTGTATGAACCTTGTTTTCCACTCTCCTGCAGCTTCTCAGCCTTAGACATGGAGAGGCTTCTCGGGGTCTCTCGAGAGAACTTCCAGGGTGCCTGGTTCTGCTGGGTCTCCAGCATAAATCCTGCTGTCTGAAATCCCCCATGTACCTCTGTGCTGTTAAAACTGAGTTTACCTGCTTTGGGGTACACTGGTTATTTCTTACCTTGTCATTCATAATTAGTGCAAATGATTCTGTCCCTGCCCTGTTCTTTAAGAAAATCTTTATGGAGTCATTTTATGTACTTGTAAACCATGATCTTTTTAAAATTTTTGTGTTAAGGAAGCTCTTTTGAGACTATACATATTTAAGTCCTTTAATCTTTCATTATAGGGCAGTCCTTCAGAAGCTCTAATTATTTTATTTGCTCTTTTTACTTTGGCAAAAATATACAACTAAGGAGCTGCACATCTTGTTCTCCTCCCTATTTAAACAGCGTCTGGAAATCTGAAATAATTACCTCCTTATTTTTAATGTTTTTAAAAGTCATATTATACTAATATTGTAGAGTGGGGCTCAAAGCTTTAGGTCTGCAGTATTTGAAATGCTCTAATCCTAAGGCTTTAAAAAGTAGCATTTTCTTAATATGTGTTGGGTGCTGATTATTATCAATACCCAAGGCTGATAGGGTAATTTTAAATTACAATATTACCTGTAAGTATTCAAGGGAAAGAGAATAGCTTTATATGACTTAGTTTCAGGTACTTCCCTAGAGCCGTCTATGCAGCAGCATGTAGTAAGTACTTTCTTTTTTTTTTTTAAATTGGTTGTTCAAAACATTACAAAGCTCTTGAAATATCATATTTCATACATTAGATTCAAGTGGGTTATGAACTCCCATTTTTACCCCAAATACAGATTGCAGAATCACATCGGTTACACATCCACATTTTTACATAATGCCATATTAGTAACTGTTGTATTCTTTCTATTTGGAAATTATCGTATGACAATTATTTACAATAATAATTGATATCACCTGTTATTTCAAGAGTAGTTTCAATGTAAACAAACTTCCTTTCTAGATAAAGAGAAGGAAAACAAGAAAGGGAGAATATTTCTAAAACATCTTGTCACTGGAAGTAAATGATTATAATATCTATCTACCAGCTTACTCCTTTTAGAAGACAGATTCTAAATTGTTTATTTTCATTGCTTTAAAGGATGCTTTTTTTTTTTTTATTTAGCCTCTGCTTGGTTACAGATTTTAAAGTGTTCTTACATTCAGTTAGAATTTGGTTTTAATTTCACCTTGAATTCTGATTCATTTCTATACCTTCCTGGTGTATTTTTTTATCTTTATTATTAAATCATATAAAGAGCTTAAAGGGAAAAGGTCTAAAACACACATTCAGTATTAGCAGGCAATGGGATGAATGACACATAAAATCATGTGCCTATGACAGTTTATTTTTTATTTGTTGATATGCTGTTTTTAGTTTTGTGCCAAATATGCTGGATATATTTGGACAATGGTGTGAAAAACCTCCAGTACTAAAAAGTATGAGAAGCCATGAACTAACAACAACAAAAAAATAATTCAGTAGAAATTGTTTTTAAACGTGCTGTTATTATATTTAAATTAAATTTCATTAACTGTCAGTTGGTTGCAAGTATATTCATATGACTATTTTTATTTTCCTACTTTCTATTATTTCAGAATGCGTACATGGAATGAATCCTTCTAGAGATGTTCACGGTATGTTAAATTTTAAATGATATTTTTTATAAAAAGGCATATTCACCTATGCATATACATGATTTTATGTTTATATATGAAACATTATATAATTTTAACAAATAATTAAAGCTTTTTTTTGCTGATTCCATTATACTTAAAAGCAATTCTCTGTATTGCAGATGTCATACCATATAAAATATTTCAATAAAACCTTAAATGCTACCTTCAGTTCTATGGCATTTACCACTTGTACATTCTGCTGTTATTAAATGACTATACGACTCTCTAAAAAATAAAGCTTAGCTTCTATCTCCTATAACCCAGTTTATTACTTCTGTTATAGCTGTGGTAATGCAAAATTTTATAAGGGTAAAATGTTTACTAAGCACCCCTAAATTTACAAAAGATTAATGTAAAATATTCTCAGTTTGCTACTTGTGAGGTACACAAGTGATTTATGAAGTTAAAGTGAGATAATCACACATTAACCACAGCATACCAGGGACTTCTTCACACAGGGGAAGGATACAGTGTAAGAAAAAGGAATCTCATCCCCCCAGTAATTAAATTTCAAAAGTGAAATAACCTCAAAGTCACTTCTGGGGGGGAAAAAGCTTGATTGAATTTCAATATTCAAAACTGAACAGTGAGAAAAGCAGGTTTTGTGGACATATATGTTACTATTTGTCAGAATAGTTCCTTATCCCTGTGACATTATTTCCAACTGCAGCAATTTTGTCCAGAACCAATACAGGATACATTCTCTAATTTAAAAAAGAAGAAGAAGAAAAAAAAAAAGAATGAAAATAGGAATAGAAACAATTCTTTCAGAAATAGTACATTTTTTTTAGAAATCTAATCTTGGAAATATCACAATGATTTTAAGAGAATTGTTGAGATTCCAATCCCACTTTTAAACTCATTTTATCTTGGAAAAGGTTTCGAAAAAGCAAAAATACAAAAACATTTAGATGTTTTCTGAGACCACCTAAAGTCGTGGAAAGAAAATGTCAATGAACTGTTATTGTTCTCCAGTGAAATCGTCGTCTTCCAGATAATCAACTACTTCTTAATTCACTGTGGAAACTTACATTTCATTCCTGTTTGGACATGTTCAAATATCCCCCCTGCAACAAATTCAGAAGAATTTCATATAGCATCCTCCCAATACATCACTGCGTCTCATTTTTTTTCATTTATATTAGTAAATTTTTGTATTATTCTGGGTAGCACTGGGATTGAGCTTGGTAATGTTTCCTTTCTCTCTTGGAGATACAAAGGAAAGGAAATTCTATATTGTCGTTGAAATGAGCGCTCTCGGTGGAAAGGAATTCCTCATTTTCTACGCGGTGTTACAGTACTTTTTAAACTCGGTAAAAAGCCCTTCGACTAAGGGATCCCAGGTACCCATTAGTGGAGCCCCAAGCTGCCCCGCTTGTCATTCATTTTAGTTCCTCTATAAGGAAGGGGCGGTGTTTTTTTGTTTGTTTCTAGTTTTCTTCAAGTGTGCACCGCGCAGCGCATTCACAAGCCGCACAGGTCCGAGGAAGCCCACAAGTCAGGCGGCCCGATCTAGAAGCTTTCGTTGCTATTATCTTCCTCTGGCTCGGAACTTAGGGTTTATGGGTTGAAACTCAGTTGAGCAGCACCCAGGGAACTGCCCTAGAAAGTTAAGCTAGGTGCTGTAACTTACTTTCCTTGTGAAAGGGAACTTGGCTTTCCCCGCGGACACTCAGCCAAGGTCCCCACCCGCAGTCCCTCGCGAGGTTTAGGGTTTTAGGCAAAGGGCCAAGTCCAGAGGAGCCTCCTTTCACCTCTGAGAGGCAGATTACTCCTGAATCAGCTCCTTACGTGGAATCACAGCCCACTTTTGTCTCTGCCACACTCTTGCTCATCCCTGTCCCTCGGGTTCCCTGGGGATGCACTTGTCGGTGGCCCCCAGAGCCCTCGGTCGGCTCTTGGGGAGCGTATTTGAGCCGAGCCCAGGAGAACAGGTTCCACTAGCCCCGAACTCGCCTCTAGAGCAGGCAGTGTCTGCGCCGGGTCACCACGAAAGGATGGCCCCAGGCAGGAGAGCGGCAGCGGGAGGCGGCAGCAAAGCGAGTGTGTGGCCTCACGCAGCCGAGGCGGAGTGTCAGAGAATAGACATTCGGGCTTTAACAACTGAAATAAGGTTTCTTCAAAAAATCATTTAGAAAGAAGAACGCAGAGCATTTTTCTTCCAGAGACCCCAGACCCAATTAAACAAAGAAAATGTAGTTCGGTGCTGGCAGTGTCCCTGTTTTTCAGGCGCAAAAAAGTTAGGGGATGGCCCACGTTGGGGAGAAATGCAGAAAGCTGGGGTAGGCGAGGCCCGGGACTGGAGAGTGCGACTCTACCCAGGCACCCGAGTCACCTGGAGCATCTAGGGTCCCGGGTGAGCCGACAGAGGTGACCAGGCGGAGGGCCTTCGGGAAAACACAGGACTCAGCAGAGTCTGGGCAGCAGGGACCCCGGCCCCGCGGGTTCCCAGCCAGGTCAGCTGAGCCGCTTGCCTAGGGCCGCTGAGGCGAGACGCGGCCGCTCAAGTTGTCTCCGGCGGCCGTTTCCTGTCGTTTCTCCCTAAACCCAAGTTCTTACGAGGGCGACCCGAAGGCCGCGAGGCAGAACCGCAGAGCTCCCGCCGTCGGGGCGCTCTGGGTGCACTGCGCTGCTGCCCGGAGCCCCGGGCGTCGAGCGAGGGCCGCTGCTGCCCCCTGGCGTCCGCCCCGAGCCAGAGACCCGCCGCGCCTCGCGAAGGCCTCCCTGGCGCCCAGCGCAGCTAGCCGTCCTCTCCAGGCCTGGGGCTAGGGAAGCGGCCCGGGCGCCCGGGAAATACCTCGGCGCCCGACCCGGCCTCCTCCTCCGTCAGGCCCCAGAGGCAGCACCCAGCACCCTAGCCGCATGTCCGCGAGGGGAGGGAGGTGACCCGCGGGGACGAGTGAGGGACCCCCGGAGCGGGGGAGTTCCTGTTGTTGAGGGACTCGGCCTTGTCATGGGGAGGGGTGAGGAGCTCGGAGGATGAAGGGTCCCCGAAGGAATTGGGGGTCGGGGAAGGAAGGGAGCAGCCTCGCCAGATGCGGGGCGGGGCGCGGGAGTGGGCAGCGCGCCGGACCAGGGGCGGGTCCTTTAAGCTCCGCGAAAATGCCCCCGGCGCCGCGGGGACGGGCCTAGGGGGAAGTTCCCTGCCGCGCGCAGAGCCGGGTGGGTTCAACACCCCGCCACGGGAGCGCGGGGCGGGGAGGAGCGGGGGCCGTTTCCGGGGAGCAGAAGGGTGGTTCTGGGGCGGCCCCTGCTGCGAGCGGACAGCCGCTGGGCCCCGCGGCAGGCTTTCTCCCGGCCCTGGGGGAGCCGACGCTCCGGGAGCCAGCGAGGGGAGGCTTTCAACTTTCTTTCCGGCCCCGGGTTCTTTGGGGTCTCTTACGACCCGACTCCTCTGCTGGCCGCTAGCACTCAGCCAGAGTGAGGCGCGCTAGGAGCCGAGCCGGACGCGGCCGAAAACACTAATAAAGGAAAACGCTGAAAACACAGCAGTCGGGTGGTGGAGCATCGTCAGGTCTTAATAAACGGATCAGCGTCTTTCGCTGTAGCTGACAACCAGGCCTTGGGGGTCCCGGGCCCTCCGGCCCCCTTGCGGCCGACTCCCACCCCTGCCCGGGAAGCGGAGCTTTGGCCGTGGGCGGCTTCCCACAGCTGGGACCGGCCCCGGAGCCTCGCGGCGGCAGCTGTGTTTCCAAGGCACGCCAGGCGCCTCCCTGTAGCTGGTGCCTAGGCCTCTCCTGGCGCAGCTCACGGGCTGGGTCCTTATTTCTCCTTCTGGGTCTCCGGACTGTGGCCGCCTGTGGCACCGCTGCGCGCTGCAAAACCCGGCGAACCGCACTGCAACCAAGCGCGTTGCTGCAGTGCTGGGGTCAGCACCCGGGAGGGACCCCCAGCGAGGGTGTGCGTGTGTACGCGTCGCCTCGCGTGGGTGCGGGGAGCGCGGGGGTGGCCTCGGCAGCCGCCACGAACTCCCCGCCGAGCCTGCGTACAGTAGCGCGCCGCGGCGGGGGCGCGCGGGCCAATTCCAGGAGCAGGCGGCAGTGAGCCGCGCCCTGGCTGATACCGGAAAGGCCTGTGATTGGCCGCCCGCCGCCCCTATGCAAACGAGCTGAGGGAATGGAATTCCTCGGGCCGGGCTTACAGTAAAAGCACGTTCATTTCCAGGCACTCTCATTCATAGAGCCAGCGGGCGCGGGCGGGACGGGCGCCCCGCGGCCGGACCCAGCCAGGGCACCACGCTGCCCGGCCCTGCGCCGGCAGGCATCTCTAACCCGGGCTCCTGGGGACGCCACAAGAAAGTCAACCTTTGCTGCTTTTCCTTGACCTGCGTTGGACCTTTTTAATTTTTCTTTTTCTTTTTCCCCCTCCTTCTTTCTTACTTTTCAATGAACTGGCTTCTTGGCTGGATTGTTTATACTTCTTTCCTGGCTGTGAACTTTTCCCCGATTGTTTCTTTTGACAACTGCGGGAGAAAGTGCGCTGCGGTTCCCGGCTAACCGTGAAGTTGCGTGTGCTTGGCAGTGTGCGTGGGAGTGTGTGCGCGCGTGTGTAACTCGAGCCGACTGCTCTGTTTCGATCTGCGCCGCAGAGCCTCGTCTCAAGGCCCGCTCCACCTGCTGCGGTTACGCGGTGCTCCTGGGTATTTGTGCGTCGGAGGAACTAACCCGCCGGCGCTGGGGCGACGTTGGAGGAAGATCATCTCGCTACTGCCCAAGTCTGGGCTGACTCACCGAGCCGATGTAGACAGTGGCTGGCTTCTGAAGGGTGCGTGTCTGCATGTGTGTGATTCGGCTGCAGCTCAACTCCCACCAAACCACAGGATCAGCCACAAACTTAACCAACATCCCCAAACCCAAGTTCTCAGATCTGGAGAGCTGTACCCTGAGTATCATCGACTTGGACTTTTTTTTTTTTTTTTAAAGTTTAGCTAGAATTTTTTGTAAAGCTGAATTTTCCGCACTGAGTATTTTGCCAGAATTTATTGAGAGAACATGACAAGTAATTCTAGCCCAGCCCTCTTCCAACTACTGAAGCTGATTTTCAAGGCTACTTAAAAAAAAAAAATCTGCAGCGGACTTTAATGGATTTCTGTTGTGTTTAAATTCTCTACAGATTGTACTGTAAATATTTTATGAAGTAGCATATGTATATATTTATATATAAGTTCACATACATTAGCACAACTTTTGGAAGTCACAGCTCTTGCTTTTGAGGACTGAAGCCAGTTTTTCATGATAAAGGGGGCACCCTGTATGGAAGACACTCCTGTATTTTGTGTTCTGATGGGACTTTAGACAAAACTCACCTGCCCAAAAAAAAAAAAAAAAAAAAAATACTGACAGGCGATTAACTACTGGAACTTTCAAACCATGTATTTGCTGGTCGTTTTGCTCTCCGCACAAATATTTTAGAGAGTGCGGGAATTTTGCCTCCGGAAACATTTTTAATAGCCAAAGATTGAACTTAAACTCTCAAAGCAAGACTCAGAAGAAGATAGGCTCCCTTTGCAATTTGACTTTGGATTCTGGTTGCCCACTTTTTAATGCACTAAGCGGCCGGTTGCTAGGAGTCCTGCCTGGGTCTGAGGCCGGTCGGTCGGCGTAACTAGAACTTTCCCTATCCTGAACTGTTGGTAACTTCGTCTCCCCTCCTCCCTAGCCCTCCCGCAGTAATAAAGGCCTCTGAACTTGTATGTTGGTCTCTCGGGAGCTGCTTGCTGAAGATCCGCGCCCTTGTCGCCGTCCGGTAGGAGCTGTTTGCAGGGTCCTTACTCAATCGGCTTGTTGTGATGCGTATCCCCGTAGATGCCAGCACGAGCCGCCGCTTCACGCCGCCTTCCACCGCGCTGAGCCCGGGCAAGATGAGCGAGGCGCTGCCGCTGGGCGCCCCCGACGCCGGCGCCGCCCTGGCCGGCAAGCTGAGGAGCGGCGACCGCAGCATGGTGGAGGTGCTAGCCGACCACCCGGGCGAGCTGGTGCGCACCGACAGCCCCAACTTCCTCTGTTCTGTGCTGCCCACGCACTGGCGCTGCAACAAGACCCTGCCCATCGCTTTCAAGGTACTTAGCCTGGAGTGGGTGACGGGAGGACCAGTACAGGTCGGCTGATGCCCGGGGCGACCCGGGAGGCAGCGACCAGGCAGGCGGGGCCGGGTTCTAGAAAGCAGACGGCGCTACCCACCGCTGCCCCTGGTCCTTTTATCTGCGCTGGGGATGCGGGATGCTGCGTTGCCGTGGCGACCCTTGGAAGGGACCCGCCTCAACCCGCCAGAGCGGCATCCAGGGAGAGCTGAAAAATCAGGATGCCCTTAGGAAATTCACTGAGGGCCAGCCGGGACCTCCCTAGCAAGGGCCTTACCTTTGATACAAAGTAGGAAAAGTTATAACCTAGCAAGGGACAAGCCCTTATGCTTTCATACGACTCTCACCACCTCTGGCTTAACACTCAAAACATTTTGTCTGTCTCAGATGAAGGCATCAGGAAATAAAATAGAGATACTTTTATACTTTCCGGTTGTAAAAACAAACCACCCAGGAAAACTGTCAGGGATTTTCCCCTCCTTTTAAAAACCGCCCTATAGGAATTAGCATGTACAAAGTCCACAGCAGGCACAGCTAAGTTTGCAAAAGTTTTCCGAAGAGTTTTTCGAGCCTCTAGTCTACTCCTGCCCAAAGCGGCAAGTAGCAAATCCTGTTTCTTTTCCTGGAACCCTCCAGACGTTATCATTGCTCACCTAGATTAAGCCCCAGGCAGCAAAAGGTGTCTTTTGAGAGCCTGGAGGTCCAATCCGACAGTTTTTCTGTTAGTGGAGGGCACAGGGTAGACCTGGCAACTTCAGCAGAGCAGCTCAAAAGGTCTGGGTTCACTTTTCACCCCTGATCTTGCCCTAGCTTTGAGCTGCCTTTAAAAACCTTGGCCTTCAACTAGGATATATAAACAACCTCAGGGCGTTTTTAAACAACCACCCTACTACCCTGGCAGCCAGCAGAAGGAATTTAATTTCTGCGGTGGGGATTCTGTCTTTGGTGGGTTTTAAAAAGTGCAGCTTTTTAGTACAATCAGTGTGGTCATTTCCTGTTCATTTAAAGAGCTAAATAAGGCAGGTGATTCAACCAGTAAAGATTGGCTACTCATAAAATATTATATGTATTTTTAAAATAATTGTTCCTTATAAGGGGAAGATTAATGTAATATAAGCTTTTTATAGGTCCAGATCTTAGACAGATTTTGATCTAATTACAATGAATAGTGTTCACTTAGAAAAAAAAAGTTGGGGTTCTTCATTTTTAAAGTTTACACACTTTCCAAAGTTAGATTGTGATTTTTTAAAAAAATAACACAATTTGCAGTTGCCTCCTTTTCTACTTGGTTTTTTGAAAGCTTTTTTTTTTTTTTTTTTTTTTTTTTTTTTTAGGGTGGGGAAAGGAATGAGAATAAGGGGAGAAGCCAGCGGACTCTTCCTTCCCTTCCTCTGATTATTTAGATTTGGGTTGGGGGGCATTTCAATTTCAAATCATTCTAATCCCCTTACATGTGCTGGCAGATCTCTTAGCTCACTGTCTAAGGGTGACAGGGCTGGGTCCTGGGGTCACTGTCAGGCAAGAGCAGTGAGAAGACAGGCTGATAATCAACTGAAGGGACCATTTAAGGCTGGTCCCCTGACACACCAGCCCACGAAGGGATTTGTGGCTTCCCTTGGAAAGAAATCAGGGTCTCTTCTGAACTCTGTGCTGCCTCTGAGCCCACACCCCAATATAGCAAGACACTGAATGCTTAATAAAAAGGAGTTAGGCCAATGCAAAATCTTCAGCCACCACATGAAAGTCTTCTTCGAAAAGAATGAAAAGTCATACAAGTTGCTTTTATGAGCCATAAAATTCCTTCTAGCAGAAATTGCAATAACTATATATAAATTTCCTTTTAAAAATGACTTTAGACAATTCACTGTAAGAAAAAAAAAAAGTCTTAATTTTCTTTACTGTGCCTGTAGGCTACTGTAGGGTCAAGGTGTATAGCTCCTTCAAAAAGTCCCAGTGGGTCTCTCAAGAACATTTGGGAGAAAGAAAAGGATAGCAAAGAAAAACCACTTGATTAATATCTGTCACCAAGTCCCGAAAAGAGAGGCTCCTTCTTCAAGGAGACTTGCTCACTACATAATTGAAAGAGTAGACAGAATTTTCAGTGCAGAAGTAAACCTAAAGAGTAAGAATAAAAGCAGGCGAAACTTCAACCCCGCCTGCATCCTGGCTTGATTTACTGTGGGTCCCGGCTGCACCCTGTACATACCTACCCACCAAACACCTCCTAAGCTGTTTCTCAAAAAAGTATTCCTTTAAAATTTCATTTAAGTGAACCTCAATCTCTTTAGAAAGCTAATCCTTAGAGATTTTAATATTTTCCCTATGATATAGAAGAGAAAATGTGAAACAATTATAAAGTTGGATAATATCGATGAAAAGAGCATTTAAGTGCCTCTTTAGGAGTCTTCTGAAATTCTATGTGTAAATCCTCTGCCTTAATCTTGAGAACTCATGAGAGATTTGAAATTGTTAATTTTCTTTAAAATTGTCCTAATTATGTGTCCTGGCCTCCCAACCTGTTCTCCACCCCCTTCCTCCCATAGCAGACCTTTATTTTTGCACAGATGAGGTACATATTTTTACCACTGAGAAAATCTTAAATTTGCTACGTGTTGCCCAGTATTTACAGAAGCAGCCTACAGAGCTGTTTGGATGGCTTAGGATAGATTTTGCAATGCTATAATATTACAGTTTGTTTAGGCCCTGGTACACCAAAGTCCAAAGACATAAACATGCCTTCAACAGGGAAGTTTGGAGACCTTGGATGCTGATGGTGATAGGCTTTCTGTAAAAAAGGAATGTTTCTGGCTCCAAGATCACCGTCCCTAGCTATGCATTAAATGTCATCTCGGCTGAATTCTGTGTTCCACTCCATAGCCTTCTTTGAAACACTGGAAGATTAAGGGATTTGAAGTAAATGAATTGTAACTGTAATTTCAACCTCATTAGAATTGGTTGAAAATGACAGTTTGAACTGAGTCGTAAAGAGCAGTGTTGGGAGGTCCATACAGTGCAGAGGAGAGTTGATATTTTGCCCAACTTCCTGATACTTTAGAAACAGAGAAGTAAAACAAAATATGAGATGTCTTTGGCCAGCAAGTCCCTTCTTGTCTGTTTGGTCTGTGTTAAAATGTCAATGTTTGTGTTCCCTTACCTATTGTTTATAGCTTTTCATTCCAGTTGCTTCTTTTTTTCTGTTTGAAATGAGATATTTCTTCATTCTCTTCACATTGCCTATCAGTGACAAAAAAAAAACTGGATCAAATTAGCTGACATATTACTTTTACATTTAAAAAATTTTAAACTAGCCTGAGTATGCTTGTTCATTGGATGAGATACATTATTAATGACATTACCCTGGAAAACAACTCCCCCTGCCAATCCGGCAGAGATCAGGAAAAGGCCAAGTAAATGATCTCTGAGCACCCCAAAATCTTGGATTCCCACTACATTTTAGAAAATGGGAGTGGTGAAAGTTGCATTTCTATTTTTTTTTTTTATTCTTGTACTCCAACATCACAACCTTTTCTTATCTAGCCACCATGATAATTTCATGTTGTATTGTTTCTACTTGGTGACCACCTCCTGAGTGTGCCAGCTCTCTAATTGAACAGATGAGAGGCACAGGTAGAGGACCAGAGAAACAGCACAGAGATTCAGAATGCATTTGGGTGGTTATAAAACAAGATTTATTCATCTTAATCTCTTTACCGATTTGGGCCCGACCATGAATTATTCAGTTTGAAAGCCATGTCGTGGACCAATACCCTGCACATTTACTGCATGTTGAATCAAAATAGAAAAGCCTGGGTCACCACAGGGAGGTGAGGATGAGGAAGTCAAAATCAGTGTGAAAGGAGAGCATTTCAACACTGTGAGCTAAGTTCACAGAGGGAAGTGAAAATAGGGGAAAAAAGAGGAAAAAAAATAAGAAACTAAAAAGAGCAGAATAAAGCAAGCATATTTTGTAGGAGTGGAAGAAAAGGTAAAAATAATTCATTGATCAAGGAGATTTATCTCAATAATGTCTTTTGAAACAAAAGAAAATTGTCGTATTAGGGTTCTTAATTAAATGGCAACAAACACACTTATAATGGGAACTAAATACCTAATTAGAGATTGCTTGGAGAATAAATACCAGTGTTTTAAAATCTCCTTGATGGAAAACATGTCTAACAATTGAAATGAAAGGATTAAAAACAAAGATAAGAGGCCCAGATCTTGTTTGACAGTGTAAATTGGGTGAAATAGATGAGGAAGATACTTACCTAGTGCCTTGGGAGTAGGTTGTCCTGGTGAGGTCTTAGGATCCAGAGCTTTTTGCCTTTCAGAGTAACGGGCTCATTTTCTGCTACGCTCCTTAGAACCTAGGCGCTGAAGTAGCCACTGTGAATAAAAACAGCACATGGTCATCTGAAGGACACAGTAAAGGGGCCATGACTAAGCTCATAATGAGGATGGGAATGCTGAGAAATGTGACTTTGGTGTCAGACAAAGGAAACTCTGGCAGCCTTATTCAGATACAGAGAGAGGACTTGAAATTCCCACCAAAAAATGATGTAACAATTATGAGGTAGAAATTGGGAGATGAAAAACAGGGGGAAGAATTTTAACAGTAGACTAAGGAATCCTTGATTGTTAGCAGTTGGAAAACCACCAGAAAACAATTATACCATTGGAATGAATAACACAAACGTCATTCCTGATTGAGAAAGATTACTGATCTTCACCGAGAAGATCAGAAATGATAGGAACAAGTCCAACTTGGGGCATTTGGATTTGAAATTCTATGATCACGTTGAAAATTTTTTGAAACAATAGAAATAAAGCCAATAATTAATGTCTAGACCAAGAAAACTGTTTCTAGCAGGGTCACACAATGGCCAAGAAATGGATACCATGGCATAAAGCATCTTCAGGCCATGCTCTTCAGAGCAGTTTACCTTGAGTTACTCCTGTTTCATTCCCTGAGTTTCAAAATACTTATCTATTGGTTTTTTTCAGTAGTCCTGATAATAAACCATATTTTTCATTACATTAAAGGAATTCATGGTTAAGATGAGCTCAGTTTGGATAAAACCTCAGTCATCTATCAGGACATAATTAACACATCTTTGGGACTCACAGATATAAAAATGCAAACCAGTTTCACCCTGGATTTGAGAATTGCCAAAGTGGGAGGACCTTTTCTCTGAGGTCTGCCAGTTTTGTAACTAGTAATAATCAAAGGTTACCTATCTGATTTCCCCACTCCCCTTGCCTGACAGGATTCACTGCTAGTGAAATTTTGATATAATCAAACCCAGTAGAGGGACCAAAGATGAAATGCAAAGGGACAGTTTACGTCATTCAAGAATCATTAGCAAAGGTTGAATTTAGTTTTAGTAAAAAAAAGTTTAAGTACTTGAAGTCCAGGCTCAGTTAGGCCCATCAGTGGAGGTCTGAGCACATAGAAGATGAGTTAGGTTCTAAACTCACAAACACAGACATTCTGTTTCTCAGATATGTGGAATTAAGAGGATAATTGTATTCATGAGATGGCATAGCTTTTCAAAGTCCTTGCCATTGTTAGTCATTCCAGCTGGGCAATATGACCTTAGGTACCTTCATGAGGTGAATTTAGTAAGAGTTTCAGCAGGGAAAAAATTATATTTACTTATACATAATGCAATTAGAATAAATCTTCCCATTATTAACTGTTTCCTTGTGTTGCTTAAGTTATGATTATGTTCCTCTGCAAACTAGAAGGTATCATTTAACACACATTTTATTTTAGAACAATTGCTTCACAGATGATATATAAGTGTATGTATGACATTCCTGATGCCTGTGTTTGTCCCTTGACTGGTGTCTAGGTGGTGGCTCTAGGGGATGTTCCAGATGGCACCCTGGTCACGGTAATGGCTGGCAATGATGAAAACTACTCGGCTGAGCTTAGAAATGCAACCGCGGCCATGAAGAACCAAGTGGCAAGATTCAATGACCTCAGGTTTGTCGGTCGGAGTGGAAGAGGTATGTATCTGTCAAAATTGAATTTGCAACACAAAATATTATGTGGTGACCAATTTAGATTTCAAAACTTCCAGCAGTTATTGTGATGGTCTTTATTATATTGTTATGTCGAAGTTTTTTGAAAATATTTATTTAAAATTCAATGTTTTAAACAGAATCTAACTTTATGTTACTGTTTTCTGTTGCTAAATTGGTTTAAGACTGATATGGAACATGCAAAACAAATTGTGAATTTCAACAAAACCCCTCAAAGTTTTACTAAACTTTACTAAAATGTGAAAATATAAAATTTACCAAATGGAAACAGATTATATGATGGGGGTTCTTTGGTAATCAAGTAATGTAAGCCTTGAATTTATGATTCATGTGCAATCTGTGACAATTGGCAGGATTTCTAGTGACCTCTTTGAATAGTTTCAAGGGATTCTTAGTGAAAGGCTATGGAAGCATAGTTTGAGGCAGGCTTACCTCTTTAGGGTAAAATAGGAAGAAATCATGTCAGTATTACTGAGGGCAATATGCCCTTCCTGTTACATTTGTTTTGAATGCCTTGTAACGATTTGGGGAGAGGAATTGGCCCACTTAACATTTTAGGTACTAATGACATTAGAAACCAGAAAATCCAAAGAAATTGTTGCATTAGTTCAGCTATATGGGTAATTTTGCTTTTCTTTCTCTTTAACACTGTATCAAAGTATTAAAGCAAGAAAAGGAATCTTGGCTCATTGTAATCATCTCAAGTTTCCAATTATTTTCAAGTATTGTCTTTTCTCTGCATTGTAAAAACCTAAGCCACATTTTATACACGGGAACAAGCACCAAAAGTTTAATTGAAAGAGGCAGGATAATTCGTTTTGAAAATCTTATTTCTGTAATATACTACTGAATAATCTTAGGAATAAAAGTTTTTTCAAGTTTAATAAAAGAGACACGATAAATACCTAGTAACAATAGTCCTTGTATTGGAAAAAAGAAAAAATGAAAAGATCAACTGCAGGAGTAGTCATTATTCTTTATAAAGGCACTCAAAAATATTAGAAAATCTGCATTCTTAAAGAGTTGGATTAGTGGAACAGGGGAAAGGGGCAGACAAGTATTGGATTTTGGGACTGTTTTTTTTTGTTGTTGTTGTTTGTTTTTTGCTACCCTTGCTGTCCGGATCATTTTCATAATAGAATCATAGCTGGAGAAAATGAAAAACTTAGAACATGATTGAAAATATATGCTCACAGTAGTAACTATGTTAATAATAGGATAATGCAGAGAAAATCATATCCATTTATTGAAAGTACGAGTGATGCTATAAGATATAAAAGCACAAGTCATTAAATGGGTTCACTTGTTATATTAAAAGTCCCTGCCTTTCAGCAAATGGAATTTGCATTATGATTCAGAGATGTGTGTTTAGAAATCATCTTGAAGGCCCCGGATGAGTTGCTAGCAGAATGGGTGAGAAGCCAATAAAAGCCGGGTCCACCTGCCTGGCTAACAGTCTTAGTCCAGTTATTGTGGATGTCTACTTTCCAAAATTGATAGCTGAGTATAGTATCTTTTTGGTTGCTTTTCCAGAGAAAGGATTATTTTCATAATATGCGTCTGTGTGGGGCTGTGTGTCAGATTTTGATTCTAAAAGTTTTCAAAGCTACTTAATGACCCACGCCAGTGACATTTTCCCATAAGGAGTTCAATAGTGGCTTTCTGGCAACGTGCAGTAAATCGGTGATTGTAGAGAAGGAGTTTTGAAAGCAGCGTGCTTATTTTTCTGGTAGTGAGGGCTGATTTCTTATCCCTTGTTGGCCATTTCTGTTTTGAGTGGGTGACTAATAGGTGCTTGCGTTGACTTGGGTAACAGTGAACTGTTTCCCCAAGGCGTGGATTGTTTGCGCTCGGCTGCCTGATTTGTGCCAGTGTGCCCTTGAGTTTGCATAAACCCCCCAGAGTGACATAGCTGCAGCCGAGGCTGGGCTGTCTTCTCATACCCTGGAATGAAAAACTTAACTCAATGCCATAAATGGCAATATGTGTTTTGCACAGACTCTCCTTCCCATGAATGATAATAAGTAATCAAAAATACAGGAACACTAATTGAACATTTGACCTGATTATGTCTAGCGTGTGTAATATTGGTCTTAAGTGATTTTGGGGGGACAAAGGGGTTATCAATGCATAATACAAATGAGTTATCAAGAGGCCCAATTTGACTTGGTCTCACAATTTTACTCCATAGTTGTAAAGTGTAATTTGATTTTGTTCTTTCTAGTGTAAGTGTCAACATCAGAGCCTGCCAGGCTTTCTTCTTCTTCCCCCCCTCCTCCCCCTCCTCTTCTTTTTGCTTTTATTTATTTATTTATTTATTTTTTCTTTGCAATTTGCTTCTCATTAGGAGGAGAGCAGATGATTCTCACTAATTTTGACAATTAGTCTTAATCTTCCTTACTGAATCTTATCCTTTAAAAGTCTCATTGTTGCTTTTTTTCTAATTAGATGATCTTAAGACTATCTATTGTTTCATTTTCTGCTTTTGAAAATAAGCCCTTGGTCTTGATGCAACCCATGGTGGCCCAGAAGGTCCATTGCTCATCTACTCATTTCAGTACCAATTTTTAATTCTATCCAAAGCCACTCATCTGATGGATTCCCAAAGGGACCAGGTGCCTAGTGCAGGATGAAAGGTAGAAAAAGATGTTCCCTTTATTTTCCTAGTTGCCCGACTGTGGGGATCGTAAACCTCAGAGAAATTGCCAGAGATTACCAATTTTTCTGTTGTACAAAACTGATCTGTCCGGGCGCTGGCTGGAGTCCAGAATCACAGCTCCTAACCTCGGGTTCAGCCTGTAACTGGGAAAACCTGCCTGTCCGGCTTCCACAGCCCTGCTAACTGCACTGGCCCCTAAAAATATGGGTGAAGGCCTCAGAAGCCCGAACCTTCTTCGTTTTCTTCCATTTCCTCCTTTTTCTCCCTGGCAGCTTAAATCTAATTCAGGCTATATCTCAGCCTTGGAAAGTTTCTCCCTTTGATTCAGTATCACCATGTGAATTGACCACCTTTACAAAGGAAGAAAAGATAAATAGCCAAGGAAGAAGAGATAGCTGTTCCCGGAGGAGGGAGTAGGGGGCTCTAGGAGTTAGAGATTAGGAGAGGATACAGTTGGTTGTTCAGAACAATGCACATTTTAACCACATGGCCTGGGACTATCAGTCATCTCCAGAAAATCCCAAATTCAGGGTCAAAAGTGATTCTCTTTAGTGAGATTATTGAACACAGCAGTTTGCATAAGTTTTTACCTGCAGTTAATGCACATGCTCCCGATATGTTCAGAGTTATAAGTGTGTCACGGCTTCAGGTGGAGACATCTAAGAAATTTTAGCAATGACATCTGTGAGTGCTTTGTCCCTGTTGACGTATTTAATCAGCTAGAGAGAAATCGGTCCATCCGTGAATACAGCTGTAGTTATTTCATTTCAGAACCAAACAAGAAATCTACCAAACCATATCATCAGCCACATCATAAACAGGGAAAGAGAATCCCTTGCAGATTTCCTTCTCTTTTTTCTCAGAATACAATTTTGAAAATGTCATACGTAATTTTGAAAATCCTTTGGAAGACTTTTCCCCAGGAGGAAAAATATGCCCTTGTGTACGAAATTTCCTGCACAATTTTAAGTTTCCAGAGCTTCTGGAATTTGTTTGTAAAGCTTCTGGGGATCCATGGGTGCCAGGCCAGGAATCCGTGAATTTAGAACTTCACATCGACCACAGTGCCTCAGTCTAGCACAAGGTTTCATCAAGTAGATATCTGGAAAATGAAAAAATACGTGAGTAAATGAGGTGGGCATTTCCTTGCCTCTGAGCTGTTTTGCTTGTGGCCTTCTTTTGTTATAGCCAGGACTTGGTTAGCAGGATTAGAGATAAATCCCATCCAGGCTGCCCTTCCAAGCCTTTGGATGGCCACCAGGTGTGGGTGAATGTAATCACTTGTAAAGGGGAGGGGGCCCATCCTGTCATGGACACTGCAGCCTGTTCCCTCTTGTATGCACCAGCCCCTTGCTGCAGGGCCACCTTGGGAATCCCAGGCCCAGTCCTGGGATGCTGAGTGTTCTGAGGCCTGTCAGGATGAGGTTTCATTTCTTGGTGTTTGTGATGGTTTCCCTGGCAACCTTAACCTTGTCCACTTTCAATGTAGGATCCTTTCTTGACGCTTTTATAAGGTGAAATTCCTTCATTTCGCTCTCACTGTGGATATCTTCCCAGTTGTAATATTTCTCTTGTCAAACTCTGGGCTGTTTCATATTTATGTGAGGTTGGTTACTTAAGGAATTTACATTGTTAAGGTTCTTTTACATCATTCCGAGCACAGAATGGACACGTTGTCATTCAGATGAGTGGCAGACTGTGGTGGTGAGGAAGAGAAGGTATAACTGGGAACTGGCGAACTGTACCCATATTCTAAATGAGAGACAAGTCCTTATGTAGTGGTTTTTACTGAAAGATGGTCTGAATGACTCACAATAATATCATAGAATCCAAGTCATTCTCTACTACATTACAGATTTCATATAACAGGGAAAGGGAAAAAAAAATCCATCTGCCAACCCCAGAGACATTCCACGGATAACGTTCTAGATACAGGATGGCAATCAGATCTCCTAGAGAAAATACAAGAGGACACCAGTTATGTTAAAACCCAGTCTCTCATCCCCCACCCGCTTTTTCTCTATTGTTATTGATCTACACTTTTAAATAGCATATAGATTGAAATTTGCTTTCTTGAGATTTAACTGTGAGCAAATAAGGATGAAAAAAGACATGCTTCTGATATAGCAAGCCCCAGCCAGCCCTGGCAAATACCGCCTTTCCATGGCAGGTCATGAGCTTGCATCTGTGATCTGATGTTGAATTCATCTCCAGAGATCAGGTTTCTCACTCTCTTTTACACTCGCCAATAAAAGAGGAACAGCACTTTCTTCAAGCAAGTTGTTCTCTGCCCTGCTTAAAGCCT